AGCACAATTGATATAAATGCTACAAGCATGATAATATATACTGCGACAGTACAAATTATTGTACACTTTCATATATTTGCACTCTTGTGTTGCCTCAGCAATCTCATGTATTTTTGGTAATTTTCATTTTAATTGTATGTAAAGAATCGTTGCGTCAGTGATGTCTTTTCAGAATACTTATGACACTGTTTATAATGTGATTGCCTGTGTCTTTAATAGATTTAGTAAGCTTTAATAAAGAGCCCCACAATACAACAGTATGTTGGTTTCCTAGAAGTGCATTCATTCGCTTCACTGTTAGTTTCCTAGATTAAGAATAATACTTTTGTATACATAAATAAACATATCGACCCGATAGACTGATTAAATATATATAAATTTATACACATAACGTACTGCATTGTAACGCAATTTTTTTTATACAATGGTTGAAAACAAGAATCAGTCACACCCAGCAGATTTTACTGTAACATTATATTTAGATGACAGAACGACTGCTCTTTTCTCATGGGTTTTGTTCGCGTGTGTGTGTCAAATAATTAATATATTTGGTATCATAACAAACATCATCAACATATTTTGTTTCTTAAAACAAGGCTTCAAAGATTCCACCAACATTGGTCTCATAGGTATGTGTATGTATTGAAGAAAAAAAACACACCCACACACACACACACACACACACACACACACACACACACACACACACACACACACACACACACACACACACACTAGCGTAGATATATTTCTTTAAAGAATTCAACTAGACAATTCTCACATGTGGGTTCCTGGGCCCCATTGGTAAAATTAAGACTAGACTCACTGCCTACCTAAAAGCATGTTGTAAGAGTCGACTTTTTGGGAGCTTACTTCGAAGTCGGGGTACATATGCCTAAGAGGCAAGGAACCAAAAGAATGCATGCAAATGACTCAGATTTCTGAAACAAATGTGCACGCAAAACTCCGTTTCTGGAACAGGACAAAAATTCAGAAATGGACGAACACCCAGAATCGTTCGCTAGAGTTTACACCAGGTGAACGCGAAGAAAAACAAGGAACTGGACGGTTGTTATTGTACAATAACATAGGTACCATTCGCGTATTATAGATATACAATTAATACTTCCTGGAGGGTTAACCATTTTGTTAAACAGACATATAATCCATATAAGTTGAATCTCTTCTGTTGAGGATTTATGTATATCCACAACCTTACAAGCCCAAATTAAGCTATTAATGAATAATAGACTGTGGATTTAGGGACCTATTGTGAGGCAGTCGACATTGAACCTAATATTGTAAACCCAGTTTTCGAATGAAAAAGGCTTAGAAGAGGCACTACGCAACGTTTCGTTCATGTATCACTGAAACTGAGATAATTATATTTACATGGCATGGCACAAAACCCCACATGTTTGTTGTCTGTTTGAAATTTTTATGTGCAGTTTTTCGTATTGCTGCTTACCATTCGTTGGAGTCTGCGAACGCGCTTCGTAATGCCGAGGCGTAGGGTTCGATCCCAGCTGCAGGCGATTTGGCAGCAGGCCGTCTTGGGTTGGTTTCGACAGTTGTAAGGAGAGTCGACAGTTTAGAAGGCAATGACAAACTACTGAATGTAAAATTGACTAGAAAAACCGAAAGAGCTAAAATATGCCGCGGTTGGTTCTGCAGCGTTCTCTAAAGGATACGCAAGTAACAAGCATTATTAGCCTATAAATTACAAATTACCATTTGTTTTAAACGGTCTCTTTTACAACTGATGCCGGTAGCAATGCAAAGCGGTCTACTGCCAAAGCACCTAGCAAACTTAAAGTGAGTTGAGTGTCTTTTACAGCATTGGTCTGCAAACCCATAGCCTAGGATGACCAAGAAAGTTTCAATGGGGCGTCAGACAATGATGCTTTTGAGTGCATTTGTACTTGTAAGAATCTGTTCTACTAACTTTTTTTTTTTTTTAATGTTTATTTTTTGTGTGTGTGTGTAAAAGCCCATGGAGTTTAGCGTGTACATATGTCGTTAAAATATAATTAATAGAATATGTTGTGTGCTCTCTGAGTTACACCCCAATCAGCACACTACCAAGTGTGAAAAAATATGTAACTTTGGCTCCCTTACTCCTGAAGCAAGACTCGACGACAATAGTTCCGTCACATAGCACATTTTATTGACAGAACACAAAAAGGTATACACAAGGCTCTCACATCAACAAAACTGCAGACATTGATCACAGTTGACATTCGCACCTAGTCCATTTAGTCCTCACTCACTCTCTCTCAACTTGCAGCGTCCTCTCTCTGACCACTACAGCTCCAAAGGCCTACAACATCCCACATCTCTGGGCAGGCTGTACAGCTGAACAGGACGAATTCTCCCATCCACTGGACCTTGATATTATTTCAGCAGACAACCACTGCTGACTGGAGACGGACTTCCTTGCCGTTCTCCAAAAGCACACAGCACGTCAGCCGGTCGAAGGCCTCCGATGACCGACACGACTTTTAACATAGCTCTCGTCGGCATCACCCCCTGTACTGTTTCCGTAGTGACCATAAGACCCCTCGCGTCGCCACCCAGAACAGGTACTATTGGAACATCCCATTCCCTTGGACTTACTTCGCCAGCTGGTCTATACCTTCGACCAGTACCGCAACCTCAACCCTTACTCAGACCTTGATGCCTGATAGTTGTACGGTACTCTTGTCCGCTCTCTCCCGCTCTGACTCTCAACTCTCTGACTACCTCGCAGCACTCTCGTGCTGGGTGTGTACTACACCCGCACTTCCTCAGTGTTTTAGCCCTGTGGCTACAGCTCACTGACTAGGACTGTCTACGCAGCCGCAATTTATCCCTGTTGATCTTGTAGGTTACACGAGAGGCAGCTGGTGTGGATGTTCTCGGGAAACATGCTCATGTCGGTGTTCTCGACACTCACGCTCAAAGGAGCGTTCTCGAGAATCATACTTATGTGAGTGGCTGATGTTACATGAGAATCACACTTATGTGAGTGGCTGATGTTACATGAGAATCACGCTGTCACGTAATGCACCCTTTCTCTGTGGGTCTCGTTATCCATTCTTGTAAACCCCCACACAGTAACCCCACGCGTCTACTTTCCCTCGTGCGTGCACACCTTGTGCATGATAATCCATTTTCACTGATCAACACTTTCTGACCTCAATAGTAGGGTCAATGTTGATAATAATTCCACGTGTACTCACAGAAAGTACTCTCATAACACTCTGTCCCTTCACACAATATTTCACTCTCAAATCAGCACGCAACAGAATCACATGTGCATTTAATTACAAATTCAGAACATATTCTGACCAAAACGTATATATTGTTAAATTTGCCTGGTTGCATGCACATTACATATAAACTTATCTTACTAATAGTGAAAGACAAGAATGCTCAGACAATTAAAGCCTTTATTAGCTTTTCGGAGTGATGTAAGTCGTGAGAAATTATCACAGAATACTCCCCGTCCGGCAGCATAGTGAATCTTTATGAGTGATTAATCAATGATCCTTTTTATCAAAATACTATAATAAGAAGAATCCAACAGCGGGTGCATGCACAGCAGAGGCTACCGATCATCAGTATGTAGGTTCACTTTCAACAATTGTTTCGGCTCAGTTAACTATCCTAGAGAATCACGATGGGTGGGCTGGTCGGACTTCTCCTGCTGGGCGTAATGGACAAGACGAAAAGTTGGCTTTCAAACAGGTGCTGAAGTTACAGTGTTTAAATGTATACATTTAAATGTATTGACTTGACTAAGTCTTTTTCCTTCAATTGAGGAATCACTATATCTGATCTGTTCAGCCACCATGTCTTAACGATCTTTTCCTCGAGACTATTGACCACCACGTGACCTTCCCTTGTGCAAAGCTCGTCTGTCGGTTTGCGTGTAAGCAATTACCACTCTCAATTTCAGTGCATTATGAGCAGATGGACACCTATTTGGGCAGTAATATAGATACAGATGGGGGAACTGACAGAGATAGGCCAGGGAGAAATATGACGATACAAAAAGCAGGAGGCACTTTTCGGATAGCACTAGGGATTTGTGGCCGAGGTTCCGCGAGGGAATTAAAACTAATATTAAGCTTACTGAGATATTAAAATTTGAATTCTAATGTCACCTTTCATACTAGGCTGTATGGAGCGGAAACATCTAGAACAATTAAAGTAGTTCTTTATAAACTGCATTTATCGGAAACAATGGAGATACAAGTGGTGACTTTGCCAAGTATTCATTCAATAAGTTGTGAGTTTAAACGGTATGATAGAATCAATAATGAAAGAGCTTGAAGGTCGAACTAAACACGCATTGGACCAAGAAAAGATGCTGGCGTTGTATAGGACACAGGTTGAGAAAACCTGCTGATGACATTCCAAAACACATTTTTCTTTCTAAATTAACATTTTGACGCAAACCAACAATTTCATGTATCATCCTTTCCGGTGCAGCCCCCGTCTGCCGTATATAAACATGAGTGTCTAGCATCATATGCCCCGATACTCCATTTGTGTGAACAGTAGAGAGTCTTTCCTTCCTTGCATCCATTAAACAAAGTGCTTAAAACTTGAACTCTGAGAACATTTTAATTAGCAATGTTGTTGTTATGCTGTTATATTTGTGTTATCCAAGATGTTTTCTTACTGGGGAACATTGCATATCCACAAAATATACATTTATATGCACCTATTTTAGATGTCACGAAATACTTATGGCATCCTATACAAAAACTAAATAGGTACATACTGAAGCTGTAAGGCGTTTTTTTTTTTTTTTTTTTTTTTCTTTAATCTTTTGTTCTTTTCAAAACATAATATATTAAAACCACAAAATCACGACACAAACATATGGTGCCATCAGATGAAACAGTGTTAAAAAAAAAAAAGATCTTTGATATAATATATTTTTAGCATGGTATCATGGGTTGATTTTTTATCAGCCATTTGTTTTTCTTTTTTTTTTTTTATTTGCCCAGGTTTATCAGCCTCTGATTTAGGCAGCCTCGTGACGATGCTTTTCGCCTCCATCTTTTTAACCCCTGCTTTTCTTGAAGCAGATTTGCCATTTGAGAGCGCTGGCATCTATTATCTGATATTTGGAATTCCACATTTAGCTCTTACCCGAGTCAGCAGTTGCCTCACTTCCTTGATTGCAGTCGACAGGTGCTTGAGTGTTATAAGTCCTTTAAAGGTAATGGTGCCTCAACAGTAATGTAATGGGAAAATTAAGCATTTTTCGTAAGTTAAAAGGCCTGGAGTTTCACAAAATCTAGTTGTTCATCCATTTTTGAAAGTTGGCTTTGCTCCAGGACTTTAGTTTTGCATGAGCACATGTTTTACCTGCACCATTAGATGCAGTAAAGCAAACCTAGTATTGGGACAGCTAGCCTCCCTCTTACAGCATAAGACAATCCCAATCAGCACAAAGAGACATCTTATTCAAATCATATTTATTCCAACTCTGTGCTACCAGTGCCAGACATGGTCACTCACAACAAACCATAAAATAAAATTAGTAACCATGGAAATGAGATGTCTGAGAAGGACTGTAGGAGTGACCATAAGAGATAAGATCAGGAATGAGATCATAAGAGAGAGGGTCGGCACAGAACCAATTCTAGATTACATACAAAGACAGCAAGTGAAGTGGTTTGCCTACTTAGAGAGAATGCCTTGTGACACCATACCATACAAAGCATACATGGACAGAGAAGAAGGACGTAGAGCACGAGGTAGACCAAGAACAATATGGAAGGATAACATCAGAGAAACTCTACAACAGCACGATGTGCCTATGGTCGAGGCGACCAAAAGAGCTAGAAACAGAACCTTTTATCTCCCTCGACACCCACAGCGGTAAAAAAGGAAGTGAAGAAGAAGAAGAAGAAGAAGAAGACATGTTTTACAGATCTGCTTGTAGTCCTCACCACTCAAGCAAATGCTCTGCGTCTTTGAAGAAAACACACTTGTCTCCTTCTACAATGTTAAAAAGGGTGCGGGTGGGAGCTTAGTGAGTCTATTCTGATTATTGCCAAAACAGGGCCTCGGAACCCACATGGGGACTACTGTTTTATCAGATACCACAGCTGGTAGAATAGTGAAAAATTGTTTAGAAGCTACAGAGATGTGGTTTTTATAGACGTATGATGAGAATACCTTTGACAGATACAAAGAGAAATGACAATGTATAGAAAGAAACTGGCTCAATAAGAGAACTGATTACCCACATTAGAAAGACCCAATCAACATGTTATGGCCATGTGACGAGAAGGAGAAAAACTGGAGTACATCGTAGCAGTAGGAAAGTTGACATCATGGTATGGAGGATCATCTGTGTCAGAGTGAACTAAAAGTATACAAGACAGAAGGTTGTGGCTAGACATGACTACCAACAGCACCCGGAGTGGACTTTAACTCTTTAAGTCACAAGGAACACATAATACGTTCATAGGTTACTGCCTAGAAGCCCAGTAAACGCATGATGCGCGTCGATTTTACGTCTCTCCTGACTACCCCTTGGGCCTGTGATGCTAAACTCTCTGAGACTCAAAGAGTTACGAAAAAGCAGAAGAAGCCTCTAGTTGCTTGACATACTATTGCATCCAGTTTATGTCTGGTCAGTATCGGAGCTCAAGTCCATTTATAGTATCTGCCTGGTGTATTTATGACGTGTTGACCTGTGAGCTAAGGAAGACAGTCAACAACAACTCTTAGTACAACAAACCATTTAAGCCATTGAACGTCACGCAACACACACACACACACACACACACACACACCGCACCACACAGAAAATACGATAATTATAAACTATTCCGTTTTTATAGCAGGATTTAAGTGGTCAATTTCCCTCTTACCCCACTACCCATTTCAAAATTTTTTGTGTCGCTACCAAAATTAGAGTCGGATCTGTGGCTAAGTCGATGCGAACGCTTTGTAATGCCGCGATGCCGGGTGTGATCCCATCTGCGGGCCATTCGCCTTGCGTTGGTTTTGACAGTTGTATCAAGAAAGCCGACCGTCCAGAGGCAATGGCAAATTACTGGACGTAAATTTGCCGCGACAAACCATACAAAAGCCAGGTGGCTGTTGAAGTTGGTTCTGCAACGTCCTGTAAAGGATACGAATCTAACCTTACCAAAATAAGGTCAATTATGAAAATAGAATTAAACAAATTATATGCTTCAATGCGAATTTGAAACTTGAACCTTCAGACTGGCAGGCGAATTTGTAGACCCCTTGTTCTCAACTCATTTTGAGACGCGATCCTATTTTAAAGAGGCAAAGGCAGCCACGACCTTGTACAATCATTGGATTAATGAATTAAAACGCATTTAAAATGATTTAGTAATTTTGTGACATGGAAAACTGCACTGGAAAGTCCTCTCTGAAGCCTCATGTGCCACTAGGCATAACGAGAACTGATGATGACTGATGATGTTGTAATTTTGTGACGATTGAAATTGTAACTGATTAAAAAGCTTACCTTTGAGTATTCGTGAATAGGGACATTAACTCTAACTTCGTCCTTCTTAGGACGAAATTTTTTGTCATTTGAAGCCCTACTCTGGCTTTTGCCAGGGGCCGCAATATAGGCAGGTCATATATGGCCAAATGTCTGAACGCGGTTTCTGGGACCGCTCCACGGTGATCCTCATCCACATGGTGACACTTTGTGTCATCGGGTGTTTATCGCTTGTGTGATGTCCTGGTGGGGTAAAAAATCCAATCCAATAGGGACATAATGTCATTCTCATTATTTTAGTTATTACCCAATAAACGATAAAATTGTGAATTTCTCCTGACACAGCTGAACAAAGGTAAGACCCTATATAGTTAACAGTCATAGTTGGCGGAAACACAGGATACCATTAGCCAAAGTTGCCCACAGGAGCATGTCAGGCTCGAAGCTGAATGCATTTAAACACCAGAGAAATTGTAGGAGCACATTGAGCTTGGGCATCCTTTGTTAAAAAAATGAAGACAAGCTGCCGCTGATGCTGAAAAAAGTTCACTCACCCATAAGTAAACAGCAAACACAAAAATCTTAAGATCTTCAACTCCTGTGGGATTCCAGTACTAACTTATGAATGCGAGAATTAGAAAGCAACAGCAGTTCTTGATAAACAAACAGACAAGTTTGAGAACAGATGTCTTAGAAGGATACCGAATCTCCTCTGGACAGGTTTCAAACCCAATATGAAAAAAAAAGACAAGTTACCAGGCAAGAACATGTGTCAAATTTTATAAGATAGCGCGGGTGGAAGGACATTGGCCATGAATGGATCTGACAAAACTTCCCCCATCAAACCCTCATCTGGACACCTGAAGGGAAAATAAAATGGGGAAAAGAGACTCCGTAGAACCATCATCAGGAAAGGGCAACTATGGACCTTATGTATTTCCGAGTCCTAAAACAGGTGGCAATAAAACCGCAAGACATGGAGAGCTATGACCTATGCCCTATGCGCCAACTGAGGCTCATGAGGAAAGACTAAGTAAACATTGAGTACACTCTACTAGGTGACAGATAAGATGATACACAAGTGGCTTAGAGATTCATGGGTTGTGTCTGGGTGCATACATAAGAAACATTCCTGGCTGTGCATACTGGGATACGACAGGGTGAAAGAAAATGGGAGCATGGCAAATACCGACCCACTGGATGTGTTGTATTATAAAAACTGAGAAAAATGAGTCAGAGACGAAGAATTGCCTGCTGTAAATGGATATTAAACGACGCTGGGCAAAGAAAGTACATATACAGATCAACTTCTACTTGGTACTTTAAGCAAGGACAAATTGAGATGCTTGCTGTATGAACGGGGCCAATAAATGTGACAGATAAACAGACAAAGGTAACATTGCATTTGTTTCTTGACTTAGTTCAACTGAAGAAGAGTTACAAATCTAAGTCAAAACTCGTCACTGCCGGCGACCACAGGGACAACAAGCAGTTGCGATCCACTGCTTTGAGAACATTTGGTTGCTAAACATCCACAGTGGACCCCAAAAGTAGAACAGTCGTGGAAAGCAGGGACTGTTAGACGTGTGTATGTATGCATTTATGTATGTATATATGTATGTGTGTATATATAAATATTTGTCTATAGGTATGTATGTATGTATGTATGTATGTATGTATGTATGTATGTATGTATGTATGTATGTATGTATGTATGTATGTATGTATGTATGTATGTATGTATGTATGTATGTATGTATGTATGTATGTATGTATGTATGTATGTATGTATGTATGTATGTGTATGTATGGTATGTATGTATGTATGTATGTATGTATGTATGTATGTATGTATGTATGTATGTATGTATGTATGTATGTATGTATGTATGTATGTATGTATGTATGTATGTATGTATGTATGTATGTATGTATGTATGTATGTATGTGTATGTATGTATGTATGTATGTATGTATGTATGTGTGTATGTCTGTATGTCTGTCTGTATGTCGGATCTGTATGTATGTATGTTCTGTTCCTGTCTGTACTGTATGTATGTATGTATCTGTATCTGTCTGTATTTCTGTATGTCTGTCTGTCTGTCTGTTCTGTCTTTCTTTCTGTATGTCTGTCTGTCTGTATGTATGTATGTATGTATGTATGTATGTATGTATGTATGTATGTATGTATGTATGTATGTATGTATGTATGTATGTATGTCTAGTCTGTATGTATGTATGTATGTATGTATGTATGTATGTATGTATGTATGTATGTATGTATGTATGTATGTATGTATGTATGTATGTATGTATGTATGTATGTATGTATGTATGTATGTATGTATGTATGTATGTATGTATGTATGTATGCATGTATGTATGTGTTTATGTATTTATTTATGTATGTATGCATGTATGTATGCATGTATGTATGTATGTATGGGTGCAAGTATGTATGTATGTATTTGTGTATGTATGTGTGTGTGTACGTATGTTTGGTAATGGGTTTAAAGGTGTGTGTGTATGTATATGTGTGAAAGCGCGTGCTTCCATATGTGTGATTATGCTTCAAATATGAGTACTGTGTATCTGAGGTTCAACGAATCGAATCAACTTTGTCTTGCTTCTGCAGGTAAAACGAATATTCACACCAACAAGAACGGTAGCCATTGTCGTTTGTATCTTCATCATCGTCACATTCAGTGATACACCTCTATACATTGTAAACAGACTCGGTAACACTTTTTCTATCTCAAGAAACAAAACTGTCCTTGGACTTATCTTTCGTGACGATAAAGAGCTGGTTGAGATGTTTACTTTCACTGTCAACATTTTTTTTATTCCACTGTGTGCATTTGTAATCATTGCTATCTGCACAGCCATTTTAAGCTCCCAACTACACACCAACTCTCAATGGAGGAAAACAACAGTTATTGCTTCCCAGGGACACAAGATCACTATTCGTAATAAGAAGGTGGCAAAAATGGTCGTTTCCATCTTTACTTTGTTTATTTCCTGCTTTGTCCCAACTGCTATTATAATGTTGGCAATGGCGCTAGTACCCGACATAATGATTGGTGGAAAATACTTCAATGCATCGAAGATAATGTGCGGGTGCATTTTTATCTTAGAGGGCATCAACTCGTCGGTAAACATTTTTATTTATTACAATATGAGTACGAAATATAGACAGGCGTTTCACACCATGTTTATTATTGGAAATGTGCACACTACCTAATGAATATAAGCTATACACTGTTATCATATGACTTTCCTCGTGACATACAAGATTAGGTAAGCAACGGTAGCATTAGAGAGCATTAATATCGACGACATTTTAGTGCATCCATCATATACTGCCGAATTGGCAGTTCATGACGTTTTTCCTGTTCCTAAAGCTCAAGGACCCATACATGCCTCTGGTGAGGATGTGGCGACTAACGTGTATTCCTGGTTTCGTGAAAAAAATAGTTCCATTTTTTTGTCCTTCTTGACAGGTTTCGAATAAACCTGTTCACCGATCGCGTGTGTGAGTGCAGTGTTGTGGTGACTGCGTTAAAACATAAAGCCGTCACATTCAATAGCATACCAGCTTTCAGTAAATCAACAAAATGATGTTCTTGGAGGCAATCATTTTTAAACCACCCTTATACGAAAAAATAAACACGTTTTTTTTTTTTTTTTTACGTATCCAGAAACCATGAGTTGTAAACCCTTTGGCTCGGTACTATGGATATCGCAACTCTTCGGCATTGATTCCATTATAGGTACCGTTAATCTGGGAGGAATGTGGCTTTTCTGCCTACCCCCTGGAGTGAACCCGGACCACAAGGAGTTCGTCACCCGGCCGCCGCGAAAGTCACGTTTAACCAACTTCGCTGGAGAGCCGGGCAAATAAACACGTAAAGTACAGGACCCTTTTCCACGATTTCAGGCATGCTGGGCAGATGAGGCTATCACAGATTTTATAGGATAATTGGCACTTTGTGGTCAACACGAGGCCGGTCGTCTTTTATTCCCCAAGACTGCACCTGGTGCCCAATCAAGGCTGGGTTAACTTCGGAGCCAAGGTAATTTTTGAAAGAAATTCGACTATGTCAGGACCCAAGACTTTGCGATCGACTGGTGATCGTCTAGCCTCTATACCACACCAAATGACTCCCTTGTAATGTATGTCTGTATGTATGTATTTATGTATGTATGTATGTATGTATGTATGTATGTATGTATGTATGTATGTATGTATGTATGTATGTATGTATGTATGTATGTATGTATGTATGTATGTATGTATGTATGTATGTATGTATGTATGTATGTATGTATGTATGTATGTATGTATGTATGTATGTATGTATGTATGTATGCATGCATGCATGTATGTATGTATGTATGTATGTATGTATGTATGTATGTATGTATGTATGTATGTATGCATGTATGTATGTATGTATGTATGTATGTATGTATGTATGTATGTATGTATGTATGTATGTATGTATGTATGTATGTATGTATGTATGTATGTATGTATGTATGTATGTATGTATGTATGTATGTATGTATGTATGTATGTATGTATGTATGTATGTATGTATGTATGTATGTATGTATGTATGTATGTATGTATGTATGTATGTATGTATGTATGTATGTATTCTTTTTGAAGGTGTGATCTGGACAATGAAAACATAAATAAATAAAACTGGGAAACATTATGGACCAACGGAGCTCACGCTTGCACAGGTGGTTGGACTCATCTAGTTCAGTTCTTTTCCTGTCCTAAATCTGCGACTGGCCCAGCAAGACGGCAGGAAATGACGTCCAATGCTCAGAGAAACAGAATAAAATGTAAACTGCCTGATCTTGACGGCAACGAACTAAGCAATGTTAAAGGACTTCGAGATACTGTTCCGATGTTTAAAGATTACGGCTACTATGAAAATAAAGTAATGTTGCTAGGAAGCGTACTACTGGCAGGAAGGATTATACATATGTTAGTACTGGTGCTTACTACTCATATGTCCTAAACAAGATTCTAGCTCTTTAAACACATACAATTATGACAATCAGAGCCTACCATGTTTGCTTTCAATGCATACTATTTATATTATGAATGCATACTACTTTTACAACAGATGCATATTTCTTTTACTAAGAATGCATACCACTTATAATTTTAAGAAAAATGCCTGCTATTGTTGCTATATACTACTTTTACTTTTCATTCATGCTACATTTACTACGAAAGCTAAACACTTTAAATCTATAAAACTTTTTCTAGGAATGTTAACTGCTTTCAAATTATAACTGTGAACGCATACCAATTTTACTATGAAAAATCACACGTTATATATTATGTGGATGCATGCAACACTTATAAATAATGTTGAGGCGTTGGCTCATATTGGTCGAAGAGAGATCCCGTGGAGAATATACGCTCAACTTATTTCAGGAGTAGGGCAACGTAAGCTCTGGCACTACAGAATATCTAATATTCTTAGGCACACTTGGCTGGACACCCCCACTACTATAAAAAGATAGCCCCCAGGCTATGATAGCATACTATCATAGCCATGTTAACACAGATTACACTTACTAATCACACAAACATCAAAGCTAGACAGTTATGATAGTGAAACAGGGACACCCAAGTCAGCCATGAAAATTTCTGAATGGATGTAATAATTGCAACATATATACATAAATATCAAGACAATCAAGATGGTTGTTGGTGATTGGATTTCGGGAACTAACTTCGAAGAGATGCTGTTGAAACAGCTATACAAATGACAGAGAGTTCAGGAATCATCATAGTGCCTATGGGTAGACCTGTAAATATAGCATGTGGTATGTCATCTCAGATGCTACTTATCCAATTTGGTAGGTCACTGCTCCTCTCAGTCCATGGGGATTTGAACAGGCTGACTCAATAGACTGCTTTTCCCCTGGTTGATCTGGTAAACACCGATCGAACAAAGGAACTGTGCTGGAGCCCAACAAAGCTCCTGAAGAAGGCTTCCTTGGAGTGATGACACAGGTGGCCTGCAACAACTATCTCTCAGCCACTGGAACTCTCACACAAGCTCCTGTCATGTTGAACTTGTGGTAAAAATAGGTAGGATTTTGGGTAGGATTTGTGATATGGATGCTACGGGTTGGTGATTGTTGGCTGGACTGTGACTCGTTTGCCTGACTTCTAAATACGTCTAGACGCCTCAGAGGTCTGGCAAAGAATGACCCCGCCAGATTTAGCTTGGTGTCTCTAGAAAAAAAGTCCTGTATTAGTGCCCCAAGGAGTAAAAAGGCTTCCAGGAATTCGGAATATTATTCCAGAGAATATCTATCCCACAGTTGCAAGTTTGAAAATGTAGACTTCTCAAAACAACTAGAGGGTCTAGAAATATTTATTCCACCAGATAGAGGTATATATCAATATGAGGGACTATATACCCGCCGGACGGGTTTAAATTTGAATTGTGACATGCCAGCTAGGGGAGTCAACGTCACGAATAGTCCACTGTGTAGGGTTTGGTTGTTCACTCCGTGACAGAGACAACTTTCGGGCATTGTTCTCCACAACGTTAAATACACACTCAAAGAAGTAACTCTTTTTTGCTTTGGCTGCAGGTAATGTTTTAACGTTCAAAAAGCAATGCTGCTCAAGGCAGTGTCACATAATTGATATAAATATAACACCAAAATTAGTGTCGGAGATAAATGTATTTGATTATAATTGTAGCTTGAAAAATTACGCTAAATGAATATTAAACTTTGCAATCTGTCAAAGCTGTGTGAAAAGGATATGTGACAGAGTAAAGACAATAAGACTTGTTAGATCCAATGTTTGTGTTTGACGGACCAAGAGGTGCACCAGCGGTCAGCAGCTGAATTCAAGCTATGGGGAAAACGCGAAATGGCTTAAACTCTGGTCTAACAAACACGTTTTAAACCAAGCTGAACAAGGAGAGGAGAAGGGCGGTGGACATGGACGTGTGAGGCTGAAGACATAGAGAGACGTTATAGATTATATTGTGTTAGAAGTTGAAATATATTGACTGTTAGCGTTGTCGTAATGCGTTTTGGTTAGCATTTCTCGTGTGCTATATACTGTTCTACTGACAGCTGTTTTGTGTCATGCATCAGTAAGTTGTTCAGGTCTATATGTAGTTGAAGTTTATATGTGCTTAGTGGTAACGTTAACACTGCCCGCTCATACTTGGGTCACTAACCCTGCGTGTGCCATTGACTCTCGCGTGGCGAAGACGACAGCTTAGTTAGTGTTGTACGACAGTGAGGTGGAGTCGAGTCCGTTGGTACATTCGTGGGGACGGCTCGGGGTGGTATAGTGAAAGTAAAAGCTTCCACCGCCGATGTTTTGGATTAGGGACCTTTCATAGCTGTTAAGGCTTGCTTTCTGTTGAATTGCTCTTTGAACATTAAAGATTAAGTGTGTACTCCGTAGGTGTGTGTTCTATATTAGGGAGTCTCTTACGGGGCCACATAACGATCCATAGTTCAGTAGGACAGATACAATCTATACTACTACAGTATGTTATAATTATTGCACACAGATTGGCAATATTAAATTAATAAAATGGCTCTCCTTCGAACTTCTACTCCATATAATGGCGGCCAAACAAATACCCTAACAGGGCCTCAGTCGTGTGTAAAATGCAGATTTTCTCCAACGAACACATCGCGGCAAAACTAGGATTACTTGACAATGTCACGACACGCAACACCGCAGACGATAGTAGCAGACGATAATAGCGACCGTTGATAATTTCGAGACATGCAGCATTACAGACAATAATATTGAGATGGCGGGGAGACCACGCGCTTTGACGCAGATTAGCGATTGTGTTCTTCCGATTTAACTCACCACCGAGCGTATCCCCCGCGCTGGCCCTGGACGCAACGGAACCTCTCGAGAGATGGGCCTCGGTAGAGTGGTCTGAGTCCCTAGCGGAAAAGGCTTCTTATCCCTCATGGCTAGTTTGTCCGATAAATGTCTGTCAGTATCTCTCTGCCAAAATGCCAGAGTCTTAATCCAGTCCTCTGAACCAACCGTTAACTTGTCAATCGGGTCCGTAAAGTAGTCGACTGTTCTAATTTGCCACCGAAGCGAAAAAATAACACCACATCACAATGCCGGTTGCAAAGTCACCATATAATCTTGTCCCTGTCGGATAGCCGGATAAAATCTAGTTGGAGAGAAAGTCATATCCCTTAAGT